TCCAACTGCTCCAATTGCTCCTCCGAGCTCCAGATGGTAAAAGAGTACCATAGGGTAAAAGGGCACCGCAGGGTAGATAATTCCTTACGGGAGACGCCAAGGAAGCTCCGTAGGGCAAGAGTGCCGTATGGTAAATGGGCACCGCAGGGTGAATAATACCTTGCGGGAGGCGCCCAGGAAGCTCCGTAGGGTAAGAGTAACAGAGTACGGCACAGCGGAGTAGAGTACAGGTACAGCAGGATTGCATAAATAACCGAACATTACTACTCGCAAACGCATGACGTTTGTGAACACAACTGCTATTGCATACCAGCGCAAAACATTAGAAAATTGGTGAGGTCTAGTGTTTGAAAAAACATTTTTTTATATTATTAAACCTTTCCTTTTTATCCCTACTCCGACTACGGTACCCCCTGGCACTTGTAGTACCGTACGGTACAGTATTAGTGTATACTTCCCTTAAAATAAGTCGCAAAAGGGTGAAACGACCCCTTTGTCGTGGATGGCCAAAATTCCTCCCTTAAAGGTTCCTCTCTCCTCCAACGAGCCAATGGTGTTGAGTCAAATTTCCTCCCAACCCCCGAGGGTGGAAATGATGAAGCCAATAACGGTTGCCAAGGTGCCCAAGAAGGATGCGGTACTTGAGTACCCTGATTGGGGCCTGCACTCTTCTCGTGCTCATTTGGGTACCTTGGCAACCGTTATTGGTAAAAACGATAAAGCTAGTATCATAATGGTTGTCAAGGTGCCCATTTGGGATCTGGTGCCGCCGATGGTACTTGACCTCAAGACAGTCTGGGCACAAACAGCAAAGAGGGAGACATTATGCAGAGCTGGCTACGTAAATCCTCACCTGCGGTGATCAATTTTATAACTCAGTCAACTGAAAAGACAATACCGCAGATCGCCGGGGATCGGGAGATAAGACAGCTACTGTAATAAACGCTGATTGGACCAATCTAACTAACTATCCAGGTTATGGCCTTCTTGAATGCATACCTTGCCCGAGCAACGGTATCTGATATCAGTAAGATAAGTACCAGCCTAGTAGGACACAGGTTGGTTAGGGAACAGAAGACCGACGCCCACATGATAGGGAACAAGGAAGCCAATCATGATCAACATTGCCCAACATATCCCAGCAATCTTTTGCTTCAGGCTATTTCGTTGAGCCAAAAGTTTAACCTCAGTACTGGTGGAGGCTCTTCTACTTGGTGAAAAGATATCTTCCAGGGGCATACGGAACGTCTGGTCACGGAGCCAATCCTGGCTCCAAAAATCTCTTTACGGCCGGTTTGGGGCCTTCTGGAGCATTATCTAAGATCATAGTGAGTGATCGGTGTAGCCGGTACCGCGCTCGTGTGCGGGCAGCGGCGTGCCAAGTAATGCTCACTACAGGTACTCGTAGAGGCGTTGGGATTGCTCGCTACGGTAGACAGAAGTCTGTTTCAGAATCTTGGTACTTCTAGCACCATTATCACTGAGCCGTGGCAATCCTTCCCCCATTGTGTCGGGCGTTTGGGGATCCAGGGGGAGCCCAAGTTTGTCCAACGATTGGGACAATTGTGACCCATTATCAAACCTGCTATCGAGGAGAGCACAGGAAACTTGCTGCTCAGTTTCGAGCCAGCCCCATCGCCCCCCAGGAAGTTTCAGATGAGCATCCTGGATAGTGGGGGAGTTTTTGCACGATGATGTATGAGGCATGTTGAGCGATGCTGGCCTCCGGTTCCTTGCAGCTGTCTGGTCGGGCAAAGTGGTGGGGAAGGGAGGAAAACGGGTCGTTTGAACTTCTAGAACGCTGGTGACAGATCAGCTGTAACTTTAGTGACGGGAAATGATGGGAAAATCGAACAACCGGCGCATGTTTGGAAGGGATCATCTGTTATGGCGGTTTCACATGGTGGGAATAACTTTGGCGTTCGAATTTGATAGGGGAGGAGGTGGTCACTCAGTTGGAAGCGAGAATAAAAAGAGGGGGAGACGAGAAGGAGAACTCGAGTAGAGTACGATATGATACAGGTACTCGTACTTTTTTTTTTTGTCACCTTGGCGCGGGCAATATCTGGACAGATGATGAGACTCCAGGGGTTCGAAAGGGATACTTGTAGATTGGTCCTCTTGCGTTCTTTGTACCAAGCGGCACATACGGTACGGTAGTGCTAGACTGCTAATGCTAGTACTCGTACATCCAACCCATCGCCTCGAATAGCTTGTGTCACTGGAAAGAGGTGTTGGAGGTGCTTGTCGGGAACTGTTGCCATACAATTCTCGTGTTCGGGAAGTTGGTGATTTGCCGGATGAGAGCTCAGGGTGGGGGATAAGCTTTAGGGTTGCGCAGGTGCCAGAATGAGACATTGCGTCTTATCTCGTTCGCGGGGTTGTAGGTCCGAGCATCTTTCTATCATTTTATTTTTCTCCCCGCAAGGTTTGGATCGTCCCCCCCTACGGTACCGGTAAATCACCGGCCGGTTGCTTCGGTACGGTAACAGAAGGTCCGGGGGATTACATCGTATTGTGCTGGTTCGATGCTCTGGATCACCGGGGGCGATGTGATATGAGAAATAACACCATGAAATGTGAGCAGTGCCATCACTTCCGACGAAGCACCATACGTAAACAGAGACATAAGGGGCATGAATTGGCATTGTGTCGGGAGTGGGTGGATGGAGATGAGAACTTGAGAAGAGAGCAACCGTACATTACCGTACCGTACAGTACCGGTACTTGCGACTGGGCGAGCGGAAGGGAAGGCAGAGAGGGAAGCTCGAAATCAGTGGAGGACGCAGGTCGGGGACAAATCAAGGGGACAGTCTCAATTATCCTCCGCTCCCGCTGCTGCCAGCTGTGCTGCGCGGGAGATTTCCCCAAGACCTCGATCGATTCCCTTTCAGGCTTCGGCCGTGGTAACATGATGATGCACTATGTGATCTGTGAATGTACTTGTACGGTACCTAGTTCCTGTGTAGCGTGTACTCGAGCAATTTAGTGCATGTACGGTAGGTACTGTATTATACCTGCGCTTGTGTATCCACGGTGAAATTTTGGAGCATCTCTTATCAGGCTTGGGATCACAGACATGAAGGAGGTGGTTCTCGTGTGGGATGGGAATACGAATGGGCTAGAATCGAGTGATATTCACTACTTTCTCGCGCTGTATGATCCTCGAGAATGAGGGGAGGATTCACAATTAAAAATTCGTGAGGTGAGGAGTGTGGAGTGTGGGGTTAGGGTTAGTCGACGGGGGGATGGAAGGAAAGTGCGCCATCGGACCTGCTCCATGGAGCGGCTCGGCAAATAGCATGGCATATCATATCGTAGCGTTCAGACCTTTTAATCCCAGTCTGGAGAAAGGGCCACAGAGAACGACAGTTAGGGGTGGGAAAAGGAAAAGGCGAAAGAGAACTGAGTGGGGAGGATAGGTAAAAATTTTGCGATACCAGTCTGTGCTGCAGTGTACGCTCCGCTCTGTAATTGAGAAAACTGGAGCAGGGGAAGGAGGGAGAGAATAGGGAGAGACACAGTAGGGTAGCAGGGGAGGAAAAAAAAAAAAAAAAAAAG